CAGAGCAAGTGAAGGATAGAGTTGAGGAATTTGAGGAGATAGGAGTAGGTACACGAAGTGGAGGAGACTAAAGAGAGAAGTTCAAGTGGAGGAGATTGGAGAGAGTAGATGAAGTGCAGCAGTTTTGACGAAGTGAAGGAGAGAAGAGGGTGAGCTGCGAAGAACGGAGAAGGAGGTAGACGAGAGTCGAGGAACAAGAAGGAAGTACAAGAGGATGGAGGGAAAGGAAGAGAGAGGAGGAAGTGAAATAATATGGGAAAAGAGGATGTAATAGAATATAGGGGGAAGCAGGCAAGGTAGTGAGGCTCTAGGAGTTAGCAGGGGATGATGGTGGTAACGGAGATAAGAAATTCACCAAATACGCTGCGTGACGGTGTGTCTAGTACTGGAGGTCAAATTGAGCAAAGGAGGATAAATTAACAATTATAATTTTGTTTTGTAATTAGTTTTTGTTATTGCATCACCATAGAACTTAAATCGCATTTGCATTTCAGAATATTTTCGATGTACCAAAGAAAGTCACCAAATCCTCAATTTCTTCATTATTCTCCATTATGACAGATAAGACTTACTTCATTTAACAAGGGATGGATAGCTCCACAGCTACAACCTGAGCACGATTTGCGAAATGTGCCAATCTTCTTAGTTCTTCGGTTTAACTATTTACACATGGAGTAAAGCAGGCATTAAATTGAATTACAATACACGCGAATGAACTGAATTGGAGCATCACTTTCCCCAAACATATTTATTGATGTTTGAACTTGATTGTCATCAATTTCAGTATAGAATAATAATTCATCCAATTTCAGTTACGATCAAGTAATAAGTAACTTTTATAATAAAGAATACCTAATAATTGTAATAAAATAGTCTATGGGGCTATTTTTATCGATGACTTCATAATTCACGAAGTGTTTGAAACCTTTTTGAATTTCTTAACTGCCAGCTGCTACTTGAAAGCAACTAGTGCTAGTAGTACTAATAATAACAATAATAATAATAGTAGTAATAACTAGCTGAAGTTAAAATGTGAAGGCCAAAATCGAAACATTCTCGCGCATTAACATCAAAAAGCCAATCTACTGTCCTCCGTCGGGGCTTGCGCCCACTGTTCTCGGCCCTAGGCGACGCTAGCGCAGCGCGGCGGCGGAGGCGGCAGCAGCGCACGTGGCCTCGGGCGAGTGAGTGAGCGGGTGGGCGGGCGCCACCCAGGAAACGAAAGGCGCTCGCTGCGCGCAGAAAAAAAGTTAAGAACGGGGTAATTTAAGAATGGTCTTTTACATTAAAATACCCCGTTCGGTTCGAAACATTCAACGAAAGAAAAGGGCCACCCAGATCCTGCTCGTGGATACCTCTACTTACGTCGCGGGAGGGCAAAAAAAGAAATGAACGAAATACGGTGTCCTGATGAAGACATTAGGCAAGCGAGAGCACGACGACATGTAATTGATAGGGGCAGAGCGTTTTGAGATGCACGCGACTTCTCAGCTCTCCCCTCTGCGGTTTCGGGATGGAGAGAAGTTGATGAAGCTGTTCAGAAGTGGAACCGTCGTAGGTGGCTCAGAGCATCTGATGTCACGGACGTCCTAGAGTTCGTGTCACCACTGTGGCGGGATTTTTGAGATTAACTGTGTGGAGTTCATCCCGCTGTCTGGAGAGAGAGAGAGACGCGGCCGACTGCTCTGATCGTTAGTTTCTGTGGTTTCTTCGATCAACAATAGGCGAATGCTGGAGCAGTACTCTAACAAACGGGCCACGGGCCGCAGGCGATCTTTTCTTCCTCTTCCTTCTTTTTCCTATCCTCACCCACTACTTACTCGCACTTACATTCACATGCACTACAGTACCGTATGCACTATACTACACTACATGCTGAATAACCACTCCGGATCTTAGGGCTTGACCCAGCTGGAGCACTGCCTAACTAGTGGGAGATACTTGTTTTGGGGAACACACGCAAGCCAACGTGTAGGTCGACACCGGATCATGCCGAAGACCACCCCCGCCGCCCAAATCATTTTTCTATCTATTAATTCAAAAGTGGACTGAGAGTTCTCTAGAGGTGAGTACTGAAAGTGGAACTCCAATCCAGATTTTCTAAGACTAAACACGTTGTCATACCTTCGCCATTCGGCCTCTTTTTTTAAAACATTTTTTTCTGTTTAATGAGTTGGACTTGCGATTTAATGCCGCGGTGAAGTGAAATTTTTATGAGCTTGAGCGTTTGAGATGACTTGGGAAATGAATTAATCGCCCCCTTGTCACGAAGATATGCGCGTATCGAAAGTGGTTACCTCGCGGTGAATATTAATAGGCAGTCGATGACGTTGTTTAATGGGAAACATTTAGCCTCTGGTTCATAATATTCCAATGATTAGCTTCCACTGGTTTTGAACGAGATGTAGTGGATGAAGAAAGCAGGGGGAGGGGGGGGGGGCAACGGATCCGAAGGTTTTGTCGAATTTTAATCGGATTCGAATCTTAAAATGTTCCTTTTCTCCTAGATTGCCTTGAGTCTTACATATATAAATAATTGTATAATAATACATGCTAAAACTGAAATAGAAATGTATCGCATTGGAGAAGGTCCGGGAGAAGTTTCACTGCAAATTAAATTACGTCGAACGAATTCCAAGATTTCGTAAGAATTCAAATAACACAACTTCTGTTTTGATTAATTTTAGATTATCAATTCTTCTTCAAAGTTTGAGAATTCGAATCCTCAGTTCTTGAGAAGGAGAGATAAAACAATGCAACATTTCAATGTGATTTCACCATAATATAAAATAAAAAATAAACTTGGTTTAGGTATGGAAAATATGTTTATTTGGTTCGCAGAATATATTTTTACAATGCTACAGAAATATGATATGAAGTTACATAGGATGGCAATATAGTATTGTTGAAGTTCCAGCAGACAACTCAACTTAGTTCTTTGGGCCGGAACATTTTTACGTTGAGATGGAGACATTGCAATGAATAGAAATGATGCCTGCAAAATCCTTTTTCATAGGCCCACGAAACTAATGAATAAATACTTCACCTGGTTGTATGACTCAGGCAGCTTTTTTGATGTGAAATTAAAATGAAGATTGGGATATTTTTGCTTCCAAATACAATTTCCTTATGATTGTGAATTTCGCAATAGTACTTAAATATCAGTGCAAAATTGTGAAGTTTTTTTGATAAGATGCTGCGTCTAAACAGACCAAAAATATTCACATATGTTTCATACAACATTGTTTTGTTTACATATCTCGTTAAGTAGCCATTTGTGTACTGTAATATAGCCGGCACAAAAACTTTTTTATGCCGATGTGCCTTCTACTTATTTCGTACGAAATGTAAACGTTGTTAATAATCATTGGTAGGTTCTTTGGTCACTTGGTTTGTTAGTGTCTTAATGTATTGAACAATGTTCTGTGTACTGCTGGAAAGTTTTTGCCGGCCCAGTCCGAGAAACCTCACCTTTGCGGACAATTATCAGTACAGAAATCGCTGTTTTAAGCGATGAATGTACAAAAAAATATATATTTCAGCTTTCTTACGCCTCTTTAAAAGATGAAAAATTCGAGTTGAGCATCTGCCCCCTGTACTGTTGAAATTGTTCCTGTCACGATGTTAAAATCTGATGTGAACAGACGCATTGTCTGGGTAGGCTGCAGGCAATAAAAGAAGACTTGTTTTTCCATTTTATGCATAGGCCGCGAGCTTAGAACTCGAAAAAACGAGGAGGAAACCTAGTTTACTGAAGATTTAGCGGACCAAACTCATAAATCATGGATGTTGCGACATATCTACTCACGCGGGAGATTTCAAACATCAATGGTGAAGCTACAACTTCACAAGCGACTACACAACGGAGTGGCAAGGGCGAGTAGCCCGCATGGGGAAGAGAGAAGGCTCTTGAATGAAAGATGTTTTAGCCCACGTGTGTAGACTTGCTACAAAGGTGGAAAAACCACAAAGAAGTTACAATGAGATACGCCAATATACTCGTTCCTAGATGTCGTTGTGATATCGATTCTACCGAAATCAGGGACAACGTGCTGTTCTACAACTGTGGCCTCACATGAGTGCGTGTTAGCTGTGCTGTTTTGACCTTTTACCATTCGTGCTTTTCAAAAGAGGATTCAACAGAGGGATATTTGCCAGCCGGAGAACTGTAGTTTTCAGGTTGGCAAAGTACAGCGGGCGATCGGAATTTGGAATTATTATGTTCTTGTTTGTTTTTTCTGCGCTTCGCTAGGCGCACGTGAAGGGGCTTTGGGACGACGCGTGCAAGAAGCAAAAAAGACCCACAAACGTGAAGTCGTGTGGAAATCTCCAAGTCGATTGACTTATCTGTCCACGGATCCTCTGACTGGGAACAGACATATAGTTCGAAAATATGGGTTTGGCTCTATATACAACCTTTGGAATGTGCTCCAGGGGATTTCAGTTTGCATTGTTGGTGCATTTTTACTTAGATATTCTAAGTAATGAAAATGTAAATTCATTATATAGAAAACAAATAATATGAGATAATTTGCAAACGAATGACAATAAACAGTCCAAGTACATGTTAAACGAAAGTGTGTGATAATAAATGCATTTTCACAAGTTCTTCATATTACTCTGAATATGAGTAAAGGAGGAAGGGATGTAAATATTAGTTTGCAAAAGAATTTGCGCAACTAACTTTAAATTATCTTCCTTTTACGTTTTTAACATATTAGATGAAGATTCATAATTGCAAAAGGTCTTTTGCAATCCGAATATTTTTTTTCGATGTAGTTTTCAATCAAAAGATCTATCACATCGAATGAAGGTCCTACCTAACATGCAGAAGGGTTCGTCAATATATAAGGGATCGGCAAATGGAGTCAGTGAATGAAATCGTAAAAACTGAGAATTTCAACAAACTGTTAATATTTGAAGCGATTACGATTTGTTCAACTGAATTACTGAGCACGGTGCGCAATCAGTGGAAAAAGTGAAGCCAATTTGCAATCTGGATATATTAATGATTATGAGGAACATCGTCATCAGTTTGGTCCTTTCCTACCCAGATATATTCTTATATTATGCATAGTTACTGAAACGTCTGGTGGCAAGGTTTATCGACAAAGAGTGTAAATGTGTTTGCCATGTCTTAACCTATGAAACACATTGATTAGAAGACCAATGTGAGCCGTTTCTTTAGTTTCTGTATATTATTTCTTAAACTTTTCACATCATAGAATGTCAATAATTACTAATTACTTTGCTTTGGATAACTGTTTCTGTAAGTCGCACAGTTTGCTGAAACTCTCCTCTTTCTAAGAAGGCATGAGCGATTGAAAATAGATTTGGGTCCAGGGTTAGGGTTAGAGGCGATGCGATACTTCTGATACTTGGTGTACGTCTCTATTCGATATTAGCAGTACCTGCATCTATTATAACGGATCAATAATACCACGGAATGAATGCTACAAAAAATTCCCAACCTGTAGTTGTCCAATATCCAAATATTACATTAATGACATATTAAACAGATTAACATAAACTTTATCAACTTCTCACTGCAGGGGCGTATTTCTCTCCACTTTGGTCACTGTATGTCATTGCTCCTGAAAGAGAAAAAAAAGTATAATTTACTTTTATTTAAGTAAAATATATTAGATTTCTTATGGAAAATGAATTTGAAGAGAGCCAATAATTGTTTCCTTAACTATATATGCCTAACAGTTGATTCATGTTGAGTCAAAAGCATGTCTGCACTTTATTTTGCCAGTTGATACTGTGACTGTAGACTAATCGATAAAATTTATCTGTTACTGATAATCGATAAAAATACTTTTCTCTCGTGTACGAACCAATGAAAAGAATCGAAAGAAGTATCGCAACACCCTTCGGTCGTGAGGCGGGGGCTTGCGGCGGTGAGCCGAGGGGTGGGGTCTGCATGAAGTCTTGGAGAAGAGCGAGCGGTCGCCCTGGCGGGTGGGTGGCGGAGGAAGGGGCGAGAGCGAGGGCGAGGGTCGGAGCTAAGGAAGAGCAGCTCAGGCCCTGGTGCTGCGACGGACGCGCAGCGGCGGCCGCAGGTCGAACTTGAGCACCCGCGGCGGGTCCAGCTCCGCCACGTAGAGGGCGCGCCCGCTGGGACACACGGCCAGGGCGTGCGGCGACGCAAACCCCTGCGAACCAACCAAACCACACACGTTACGCCTTATCGTTTATCATGGGGAATTCGTAGACAGGTTTCCCGTAAAGTGAAACTACCGATGTCTCAGAATGAATGTTCCAAACTTCTAAGGAATGTATGGTGGCTTAGAAATGACAATCGTTTTTCTAAATAAATATACGGTGAAAAATCCAAATTAAAAAGTTACACAGGTGACATAAGGGTCAGTTTGATAAACAACCCATCATGCGTCGTTGTTTGGCAGGTCACGTTCTGATGAAGTCGAAGAGAGTTCATATATCCGCCAAACATCAGTACATGATGGGCTGCCTACCAATCAGGGGCAAATGACACAAGTGTAATTTTTGTTAGATGAAATTTTTCACCAGATGGTGAAATGTAATAATCTTGGACCCCCACAAATGCCCTCGAAGTTTGTAACATTTATTCTGAGACACCTGAATAAGCTCCTCGCTAACAAAAAAAAAAAAAAAAATTTACTGCGCATATGCTACATTTTTTATTCGTAACTGCGCTTTCGCCCTAATCAGCGACCGCTTGAGAGGACAATTTCTTCTCCGTCGTTAACGTCATCACCCGTTCGGAATCATTAGGCATTTTCTGCACTACACATCGTAAACCGATAGCACTTTCAGAGATAATCACGTGAACTGTGTCGTTTGGAGTCTTAAAATCATTTATCACAACTTTCTTTTTCAAACAAGGATAAATAGTAGTGGTGATTATGTGTGCTCTTAATGCTAAATTCCCGTATTGCCACATAATCGTGACTCGCAGTTTTATGTCTAAAACTGTCCTCCCCGTTTCCCACCCCGTCCTTCGAATTTTTATGTCAGAACTCCCAGAGCTAGCATCATACTCAGCCCTTATAGTTGAGGACAAATTACATTAATCCTAATTTAACACTAAATGTTATTTCTGATGCATAGAGAAATTCATTCTGTTAATGAATTAGGGAGGACAAAATTGTTGTATAAAATAAGAGACCCCCTTTGCTCCAGTGTTCCGGGACCCTGGTTATCTCTGGGCGCCCCTGCATAGTGGATTAACGTGGGTTCTTATGATCCAGGATATAGACTTTCGGACTGTATCTCTCCCGTGTAATAATTGGTGCTATTCGAACACGGATATGAAACTCGCTTAGAGAGCCCATCTTGATGCGTTATATGACCGTTGCATTGCGCTAAGACTTCCCCGAAAGCCTTCCCATATTCAGAGCGCCCCGATTTGAAGATTATTTTCTAGGCTGTAAAACTCGATAGCGTATTTGCAGAATCATATCCTGAAAATTTAGCAATAGAACTTCTTTCGGTGGTTATAGTTGGAAATATGAAGTTTTAGACAAAACTTTACAGTCTTTTACAGTTTCTTGCTCTTTTTATTTTATGTGTTAAAAGATATTTTCTAAAACGTTTAGTCGCCTACCAATGCAATATGAAAAATAGTAAATTGAAATGATTTTAAATCTAGAGACGTATCTTATATTTTTATTTATTCCGATCAATTTGAAGTGAAGTTATTATCACTTATATCTGATGAATTGATTGATATTCGACTAATTTTTATTGGGTTCATCTACTACACACAAATCCCATTACGAAAGAAATATAATACGATGCTATCCCCGACTGCCCCTGTGGCTCACCGGAACGGGGCCCCAGCGGTCCAGCACCTCCTCGGCCTGCGGGTCCAGGGTGAATCCTCGCACGGGGATCTGCCGCGAGGTGGGCCCGTTCACCGCATACACCACGTCCCCTGCAATACGCACGGGAAATCAGTCGACTCTTCAGCTTGTGTGCTGGAGCTCGTTCTTTTATGTACGACAACGCTAAACACTGAAATGGTATGGTTAATGTTAGGAGTTTCGATTAAATCGCACATTTTCAAGTGTAAATGGCATTAAGAGAACAACAAGAGTAAACAAATGAAATAAGAATATAGAATTGTTGTCAGGCAATAGTTCTCTCTGGCACAAAATGCACTTGTTTGGTTTCTTTGAACTCGAATTGAAAATTAGAGGTTATGCACTGAGTAGAAGGAAAAGTTTGTGAGGCAAACTCAAGTACACATTTTCAAAAATCAAATATTAGACCTCTAATGTTTTAAGCCTGCCTTGAATGGATCAATATAGTAAACTCTTATTATCCATAAATTACAGATAATCCAGCCTGCAGTTTTGCGAGTGACGCAATCCTACGAGCAAAATAAATTCAATTTTACCACGTGTATAATACACTATTTTTTAGACAGCCTAAAGGACATTCATTTGATTTTAATACAAATCAGCTACTTTAAGGTCAGTTGGTTAATATTAGCTGTGTATTCAAACGAATGTGTTTTGTTTAGCAAGCTATGCATGCAGTAAAGTAACAGATTTTACTAGGGCCTGTCTAAAAAAATTAAGGAAGAGATTAAGGTTGCCAACTATCATCCATTGACGTCAATTGTCTTTTCGTCCTTTGTATTTTAAATGTCCTCCTTTGATTACTTTTTTAACATTTGTTTTCATTTTTTATCACATGACTGACATCTGCTATGTTGTATCGTGCATTGTTTAATTTAGAATAGAAAATATGAATATCTTTTTTTATGAACGCTGACACAGGCATACATGATAGTATCTCTGTCTAGCGACTAAAATAAATAGCCGCACAGGCCATCATTATCTGCATTTAGAGAACGAATATTTTCAATTGAATCGCAAATAGAGGGTAGAAAGAAAGAGAGTTTATGCTAGTCTAAATTAAATATTTGTAAAAAGGAATGTGTTGCTTTTCTCGCTTCTTGAGTGGCCTTTTAAGCCCCGCAGAGCGCCTTACCCCTGGCGGCGATGCCGTAGACGCGGCCGAGGTCGGGCGGGTGCACGAGGGCGGCGGCGAGCGGGTCGCCGGGCGGCGGGTCGCCCACGCGCAGCCCGGCCGCCGGGCACACCACGCGCCGGTTCTCGCGGTCCGCCACGCACAGCAGGTCGGCGCCCTCGAGCAGGGCCAGCGCGTGCGGCACGCGCAGCGGCGACAGCCCTGCGCACCCACGCCACACGCCCTTCGCTCCCACTGCCGCACTTGGGGCCTATTCCAAGCCTCAAAGCTGGTGCGGATTCTGAGCTTTCTCCCAATTGGAACACCAAAAATAGAGCTGGCATAGGGATTCTGAATTTCTCCCAACACTGGCTCATTGTGGGCCTATTCGAATCCCAAAAATGGAGCTGGTGCGGATTCTGAACTTTCAATTGGAAGACCAAAAATAGAGCTGGCATAGGGATTGTCAATTTCTCCCAATTCTGGGATGGATTATATCCCAATTATTCCCCCATTATTCCCCCAAGTATTCCCCCCCATTATAATCCCAATTCTGGGATTAATTCTCTCAATTTGATTCCTATAAATAGAACTGTTTGAACTCAGCACATTCTCACAATTTGAGATCTAAATCAGCTGAAAAATTGTTAAAATGATCTCTCACTTCGAAATCGTACAAGAATTTGAAATTAAAACATCATATCAGAAGTTACCTGATTCTTAAATTTTCTCTAATAACACACCCAAATTCTGACAGTGAGGGTAGAATAAGTTAAATATTATGAAATCCGAATACCTCAAGTTTGAGAACGGGCAGAAATGCCAAAACAGAGTTCTGGGGGTCAAATGACCACTAAAGCAGGGACGACTTATTTTGTGAATTTTATGTCTTCATTTTCTGACTATCGATGCATTCAGCCACTCATACACAGCGCGGAGGAACTTGGCATGTGAAGCAGAAATGCCGATTGAAGTTTCGCAAAAAATCTTTTTACAATTTGAATTCAATTATTTTTCGAAAATATCGATTAATATTGAGAAATAACGAGTACTCCTTTTCACGTGAGGACTATCAGCAGTTCAAAAAGGTCCTCCAATCTTCCACTGTTAAATTTTACGCATATATATGATCAGGAACTTGCTTTTCCAAATCAAGGATAGCCCTCCATTAAGACTACAGTTCGGTTTTGATTATCCCACAACTTATGTTATTAGCTGTATAGTTGCAGGTCCTTAACAGTTTCGCTATAGCATGGATGCCCGGGATTTTAATATCAACATAATAGAAAATGAATAAGTTTTGCGTAAATAATTCAAAATATCTTAAAGGAAATATTTTGATGAGAAGCCAGAATAATTCCTAAATTCCATCATCATCTCTAGACTAATGAATCAAATCTTTTATTGAAGCTATTATTTTTTTTAAATGTATGTAATTAAAAAAATTCTATGTGCATACACAATATAAATTTAAGGCCTAGATACTCGTTTAAAGTACGCTGAATGCACCTTTATTGCATACAAAAAATCGTTGACATTTTTTTCCCGGGGACGTGCCACCAATTTCTCAGTCGCGCCTTTGTTCAAAGTTCATTAGGTGAGCCGACTTTACAAAGCAATGATTCGAGAGGAGCAACCACGCGAAACCACAAGGCCACTTGCACACGCGAGAGAACATCTTCGGTCCGGGGGAAGCCAGCGATTGCGTGTCGTGGGGCCACTAATCGCCCACTAACCGCGCGAAGCGGCGACCCTCATCAGATCCGGGAGCTGCCACCGACGCCTCTCCGCTCGGCCCTTTCGCTGCAGCGGCGGCTGGCGGGCACGGGACGCGCTCAAGCGGCTCGCGAAAGCAATACCAGTATGTTCCATTGCGCGCGGTAACTGCAATGAAACTACGTAGCCTCAGTTGACTACGTAGCCTACGTAGGCAAGTGAGGGGTCTCCAGAAATACCCAGAAACTGGGGAAAACCCAGAAAACCCTATATATAAATAATTATCAATGCGCGCAGAAACTGAAAGAAAACAATGTTGTCTCTGTCCTTGTGAGTGGTCTTGAGATACCCAGACACTAGGGAAACAGCCAAAAATCAATTAAAAAGTTTTGGTTTTGACGAAAAATGGAAATAATTGATTTTGGTATTCAACCATTCTCATGTTGTGCATGCCGATTGATTGGACGATTTCGGTCGCGTCAAGGTAATTATTTCTGTAAGCGTCGTGCGTGTTTTTATCTCGGGAGGTAGTGGTGATCTTCCACCGCTGGGTGGTGCGATCTGGCCCAGCGAGCGTGGTTTTTCCCAACCTGGTATCTCCCACCAACGCGGAACCGCCCAGTCGGGGCAAGCTCTAAGCTCTCGTTCGGATCTCCTGGCATGTGTGGTAATGTAGAGCGTGTTAGTGTAAGTGTGTGTGTAAGGGGAGAGGATAGGACAGGGAAGAGGTAGGAAAGATCGCGTGCGGTCCGTGACACGTTTCTTAGGCCAATGCTTAGGCATTCGCCTTATGTTGACCGGAGAAACCACGGGAAACTATCGAACAGAGCAGCCGTCCGCTAGAATTCTCCTCCAGAGAGTGAGTGAATTCAACAAAGCTATCCAGCTAGTGTCGAAAATCCTACAATCGTCGGAACTCGTTCTTAGGATCTGCCCGTCTGATGCACTGCAGACACATACCGTTGTATTCAGTGCCACACTGCTTACAATACATCTGTCATGCGACAAAAGGATTCCAAGGAGAAGGTCGCCCGCCTTATTTTCTCCCCTCTTTACATGGCCAGGCGAGCGTTAAGACTGCATATCTCCAAAAACAATGGCATCTTCTTCATTAATGCATGTTCTATAAATCAGAAAGTAACATAATTGACTTTTTGTTATATATTGTAAACAGTTTATTTCACGAACAGGTCAGATCACGACTAGGTCAGTCGACAAGATCTTGTGCCGACCGTAGGTCTTCTCAGGAATGTTGAAGTGCACAGTAATGTTTCCAAACAATTCTCCGGGACATATCGCTAGAAGACCGATGACTCAGAACAACATTCTGTTATTCTAATTTTTTTGTGAATGTTTATGGCTAGTTTCTACTTTTGCGTTAAATTAATTATGATAATTTTAATTCTTCGCAACTGCCTTTTTATATCAAAACGCAGAATGAGTTTAGTCAATCTCCATTTCTTTAATTTATTTAATCTCTTTTAATCTTTAATCTCATTTCACAATAAAACTTTAATCTCAACTTCTCCATTTCTACTGTCAGTAACTGAAATCTCGATTTTGAAGTACTCGGTGCTTGAGGGTATTTTTTTTCTTTTCGAACTATCGAGATTCCACTGTGTTGTATTTCAACAATCAAAGCACGACCGAATGCCTGAACAAATGTTCGTTTGGAGTTTTTCGCACGAGGTGACCCTCGGGTGTTTAACTACCCCACTGGTGTTGCAGCGACGGACCTTCTTCTTCTCCGACGTTCTCGCCTCTTCGGCAACTCCCGCAGCCTCCCTGGTCTCGGCCCAGCCGGCTGGCCGGCTTGCGCAGGACTTGGCAACGCCGCGCACGCTAATTAAGAGAAAGGGAGGGCGATAAAATCTTATTGGCCGATACTTCGCGCGCGGCTTTCCCGGTGGACGCGAAGCCCCGCCTCTGCGCGCCCGCCCGCCTCCCCTCCTCTC